ATAAAACACTCATATTTTGACTAATCAAGTTTTACTAAATTTATTAATTACAACAATTTGTAGTTTTATTAAGCTTAGATTACATGATAAATAACTGTTTAATTTACTTATATATTTTTAATTATATTAAATAATCTGAATTAAAATATATATAAAATAATGTTAAAGGATGTTTCTCAAATCATAATATAGTATGTTGTTTATATTGATAACTTCAAAATTAATTATTATATAATTAATTAATTATTATCCCATCTAAAATTTGAATAATAAAATAAACAATCCTCTTTTTTAATTTCTTCAATAATGTGTAATTCACTCAATTCTTAATTGGGAATGAAATATATTTTTATTTAATTTTCACCGAAGAAACCATTTACAATGTAATTAAAATTGTATACAATTAATTATTAATGATTAAATAGCTTTCTAGATTCTAATTAATCATGTAGATTACAAATAACTGTGCATTTCATACTAAGATATTAATTATTTAATTAAATAACTTTTATAAATATATATATATAATTGTTAATTTAAATTAAATATAAACTAATCAAAATAAAAATAAAAAAATAATATAAAATTCTTGGCTTAGTATTTGTTCTTAGTGATTATAGTATTCTTGATCCTAAGATTTTCTTGATCTCCATTATCACTCATCAATCTACATCGAATGAGTTAAATTAACCATCAAATTTATAAGATAATGTTAGATATTTGATAAAATAGGCAAGTTAACCAAAATCCATTTTTCGATCTGGTTCTTACAGGATTCAAATTGTAAAATTAAAAATTGAGTATTTGATTCTTTAAAGAATGTAAAATTAATGGTAATTGTTATGAGCAACATCATTTCATTTCAAATTAATACCTTTTCTTAGTTATGAAAATGGAATTACATATAGCCCTAATTTATTTTGTGCATAAATACCTTTGCTCATGTAATGAATATACTTACCTCCAAAATTCATTACAAATTTAATACAATCAAATTTCTTTTTATTATCGCAACGGAATTAGGAGTATCAGGTAATTTTTAAATTGAAGCCCTTTAGTTTCAGAGCCTGAATGATTCCTCAAATTAATTAATAATAATTATTTATGTAAGATATTCAACATGAATTTAAGATATAATATTTATGATACATAAAATTAGGTATTGAAAAAAATTGTTATAAATTTATCATATAAATGAAAAAATGTAATTATAATTATCTAAAAAAATATTATATATATATATAAATATAATGTTCATTAATTTAGAAAAGGATTTAAAATGCTTATAAAAAAAGAGTTAGGAATACCAAGAGATCACACAAAAATATCTAGTAGCTGATTCTGGAGTGAGAGTAATGAATGATGCATTTAAATAAATCTTGAATAAGAAAAAAAGTAATTTACAATTGATATAATTGAGGCAAACAATTTTTTTGTAAGAATTGTCCAAAAAAGTTTCTATCTTTTCCTGCATTGAAAGAGCATGCAAAAAAGAATCATGGATTTTAACCACTTCAAAATGGAGAAGCAAGAAAGAGAGGAAGACCTAGGAGAGATGTAATAAAACCAAGTGATTAATTTATTGAATGGGAGAAAAATTAAGGATAATAATAACCAAAACCTAAGAGACCATCATCTCTAATTACATTAAGATTAGAATCAATTAAAGAAATGGGTTTTGGTGGATTTTTGCGTGTATATAGTAATAGTAAGATTAGGCACCTAATTTATAATCATATCCATCAATAAAGGATTCTATAACAAGTTTAATAAATAAATTAGAGCCATAATTAGAGGAGAATTATATTTTGATTGGACTTGAGGAGATGAATAAATATTATGAAGAGGATTAAGAATTTTATTTGGAAAAGAATTATAATGTTAGTTAGTTATTGGTTTCATTTTTAATAAATTTAACAATGTAAGTAAATGATGAATTACTGAGAGTATTCATTACTTTTACAAAAGCAATATATTTTTTCATTGATAATTTTGCTAGAGATATTTTATTTAAGTAATTGTCTCCAGAAGAATATGGTGTAATTTGATTATTTATAAGTAGTTGATTCCACCAATATGTCCTAATAAGAAATTTCATGAATTAATGACAATATAGACATTCCCATTAATATTAAATGATTTCTTAGAATTTTTACCAAATTTTTAAGAAGCATTTCCATTGCCATTTGCAGCAAGAATATTAAAAGAAATTTGTGATTGGAGCACAGCAGAATGTAATGGATTTAAAGTGTATTTTAATCTTTGAAAATATATATATATATATTATGATTAAGAGTCAAGCTTACTTTTTATGAGGGAGAATGACTTTTTATTGATTTTAAACCATAACTTTTTTTGTAAAGATTGAGAGTTCATCCAAACTTTTTTTAGAGATACCATCAATAGATTATTTAGCAATCTTTCCTTTAGATATACGTTCACAACTTCTTTATTCTTCAATTGTTGTTGTGTTAAGTGATTTTCTTATAAGGATTTTCTTAATTAGTCTATCAATATTTTAATTATTGTTATCAATCCCTTCAATGATAGTGAGACAAATCTTAGCAGATAATCTATTTTATGGATCTATTTCAAGCATGTAAGGTAACAAGATAAAGAGTTACTCCATTTTTATAGAATTTACTTCTGGATGCTAAGGTTGCTTCTTTAATTCGAAAAATCCATCTTTGTTTACTTGATAAATTGATTATTTAGCTGATTTAGTATTGAACAGATTTTCACCTGTCAATCTAATATTATATTGAATATCTAATATTTACAATTTATAGAGTAAACATCCAAGACTATAGATGTCAGCCTTTTCATCATATTACTTGTCTTTATTATAATTAATAATCTCAGGAGCCATATAACCAGGTGTACCTGATGTTGGAAAGTTCAATTGATTTTTAATTTTCCTTGCCAAACCAAAATCAATCAACTTTACTGTATCTGCTTTCATTATATTGAGTGGATTAATGTCTCTATGCATTACTCCCTTGTCATGGATATATGAAACTGCTTCCAACAATTCCTATTATTTAATTCAAATAGCTTTACTCTCATAATTTTGATAGTTTCTATTATGGATAATCCATACTGTCTACTAGAGAGCTCCGAATATAGGGTTCTACCATTGATATATTCCATTATGATATAATAATATTAATTATCTGTGTATGTTTCTTTAAGTTTCACTATGTTTGGATGGGATAGTGAAGATAAAAGAGAGAGTTCATGAACTAATTATGGCTAATTAATGTAATATTTATAAGGATTCTTACAATTCCACCTTCATGTTAAGCAATCTTCAATTTATCAATCTTTTTGATTGCATAGTATAAATTAGCATTGTCAGCAGCAACACATCTATATACAGATCCTGTCATACCACTTCCCATCTCCATTTAAAATTGATAAAATGAAAGGATTGGCTGATAAAATATTTTCCCTGCAATCATTTCTTTTAGTAAATTGAGTTTTGATCCATAAACTATCTTATAACCATTATTATATGAAAATTCGAAACCCACAATACGTTTTTCTTCCAAAATCCACTTAATAGTAGTTGTGAGATTCATCTTGAGATTATATTTAGGTTATTTAGTGATGTCCTAATCAATCTTGAAGTACTTCATACATCAGTCATAACAAGTTCTTCAGAGAACAAATACAGAGAATAGTTTTTATCCTTAAAGAAATGTTTTCTTGTGACCTGAACAGTGAAAAGAGCGTTCTCATAAGATAACATAATTATATTAATTCATAAGTAATCATTATTTTGCTGACCCCATTATACTAAATTTAGATTCTCCATATTAATTAACTCATACTCTATACGAAATAATATATTAATTATCATCCTTATATTATTCCATTCTCAAATTATTATCAAAATAGCATTCCTTTTTATCAATCCTAAATTAAGCATTAATTAATTTTCTTAAAACTCCTCAATGTTTTATCATTTTTTAAATACAATTCAATCAATTTTCAAATTCATAATATGATTGTCATATTAATTCATTTGTATACTATTTAAAAACTTCATTAGATTTAGTATTTTCAAATCATTATTATAAACTTGATTAGCCAGTATTTTCTTAAAAAATAATTAAAATAAGGTATTCTAATAATAGAGCATAATAATGTATTCATAATGATTTGTAATATAAAAGAAGTAAGGGGTAATATGTTTTACAAGATTTATAAAATAGAATCTAATAGTATTTTATATACCTATTCAAATTTTAAGTAATATAAGTAAATAATAAGAAAAATTCAGATTTTTTTAAATAACAATTAATAATTATATATACTAATTTTGGAATATCAACTCATTTGATATTTGTGACTATTAACAAGATTAAAGAAATAATAACCAAAATTTAATTTAAGGAGAAATACATTAGAAAAAATTTCTATATAAATAAAATATTGTTTAACAATTAAATTATTGTTATTAATAACTTATAATTTTATGATTATTAATTTATATCTAATTTAATGCAATACAATTATAATATATTAATTTATATATTACAAAGATATTATTAATTGTTTTTAGTATATTTTATAGACTTATATGTATCATATCATTTTTTACATTTATTACTATAAGATTTAATAAGTAATATATATATATAGATATTAAAATTGAATAACTTAAACGTTGAAAATGTTATCAAAATTCAAGTAAAGAATAATTATAAAGGATAATTAAATAATATTAATATTTTCAATTATTCTAATTATAATTATTAGTTTACCTATTAATTAACTAATGAGTAATGACTCTCATTATACTAATAGTAATGGTTATTTTCATTATGAATATTGATGTCACATACAAATTTGTATATGATTCTAATTATAATAATTATAGAAATTCATAATTATACTCAATTTTTAACAAATAATAGTAAAAAAGCTAATTTATTATGATATTTTTGGATAGTTTATAAATAATGGATTAATTCTTTCATTTTTGAGAATTTTTAATGTTTAACCAATTTTTGAATCATATTCGAAAAGTTGATCAATTTGGGGTTATCTTTTAACCTAAAATCAAATACTCTACTAATGAGTACAAGACTGCTATAGGAGGATTAATGTCAATCATTCTTTACGGATTGAGTTTCGGCTATTTAATATATAGCTTTGTGTAGTATGGATAAGGGTCTATTCTTCCAAAAATTACATCTATTTAAGCTAAGGCAACTCAATAGAGCATATCTTTTGAGAACGAAATAATGTCATTCAAGATCAGGCCTGGGGATGATAATTAAATAAATCCATTTGATCCAACGGCTCTAATACTTGTACCATTTGTGCTTCCATTTTTGAATAATGAAATACCCTAAGGTTAATATTTGAACTTTGAATAAATTTCATTTTAAGGAAATACAATCTCGATTCGGAATTTGAAATTATAATATGGAGATCCTTCATCAGTAGAAACAGAACAAATAATTGCATTTGTAGGATGTAAACAAGCAGATATACAACCACCATTTGCTTGTGCAAATGAGAGTTTAAGGAATAAGTTCTTTTCTTAATCTAGTAATGCAATGATTGCAACTACTTAAGTAAATTAATTCAATACTGATAAAAGAACTTTGGAAGAGGTAGGTAAAGAATAAGTTTTGGCAATAGTTGATAATTCAACATATTTTTAAACTACGAATTTGAATATTTAAGAATCATCAGTTGATACAGGATTTTTATTGGAATCAACTGAAAAGTTTGTTTATGCTACAGATTATTATTTAACAAGTTAACAAATAGATTAATAGTATTTTAGAAATACATTTAATTATGATGCTTATTTAGTGTTTTAATTGAGAATTGGTAAATTGAAATATTATTAGAGTATACAATATCCAAAAATTAGTGAAATTTTAGCAGATGCAGGTTCAATAGCATCCACAATTTTATTGTTATCCTATTTTGTTATTCTTTGTAATTAGACTCTTTTGGAGAAACAATCTTTGAAAGATATAATTTAGATCTATTATCCATCATATAAGGATATATAGATTAAGAAGACTTTTTATGGTTAAATAAGGGAAGTGATTTATAAGGGGAAAATATAAGATTTAGAGTAATTTAAATAGTATTAGAAGGAGTTATAGGAGAGAGCAGAGAAAAAATTAACTATTATAAATTAAGTTTATGAGATTTCTAGATTATAATTTATAATTTAAAATATTTTAAAATCAAAAGAGTAATTAAGATAGAGTCATAAAATTGGAATTAAATTAAAATAATTTGATATACCTAAATTGATAAATGAAGAGAATTTAAATGGAAATTAAATAGTAAGTATATAATATAATTAGATACCTCATTCACAATTAAATTTTTCTACTTCAAAACTAGTAGTAATTGATAGTCAAAGTGATTCATTGTAAAATCTTAAAGTAAATTAATAAAAATAATAAAAATATAGAAATAATAATAATAGAATACAATAGAAGAATCTAATGATGAGAATCAATTAAATGATGAAGATTTTGAGATTCTAATTTAACCTAATGAATTAGAAGAATGAAATTATATTAATTATTAGAATAATATAATTAGAAAATAATTAATTAAAATTACACATGTCCACTTTATAGTATGTGAGAGAAATCATTAGTAAATAGATTTCAACTCTATCAAATCCAATTGGTGAAGATAAAAAGGCATTAGGTAAATGTTAACACTTATTAAATTAGAATCTGAACCATACCATAATTTACAAAAGTCAAGTGTATTATTAGAATCCAGGTGTTTCAATGATCCTTAATTATAAGACAAGAAATGTAGATAAATACTTTCTAAATTAATATATCTAATCAATTAGGTAATTGCTAATATTAATATCTATATAATAGGGTGAGAAATTCAATGATCAAGAATCTTTAAGTTTATTTTTTGGAATAACAAAATTGTTTTCATCAAATAATGTAGATTTAAGAAGAATGATATATTTAATGATTAAAGTAATCTATTATAATATATTTATTATAGGAATTCAAAGATGAAAATTCCATGTATGTTGTAATCAGTTGTTTGGCTAAAGATATTACTTCCAAAAATGATCTCTTTAGAATTAATGCTTTACGTACACTTCCATATGTTCTTGATTAATCTAATTTAGTTTAATTGGATAGATATTTGAAGAATGTATATTATTATATTATATTTCAGGCAATCCTAGAGAAGAGTTAACCAATTTCTAGTGCTGCTTTAATAGCTGGCTTATAAATTTTTAGAATAAGTCCTGATTTTATAAGAAAGTGGACTAATGAAGTTGCTGACAGACTCAATTCTAAATATCCATAAAATAGTTTTCATGCATTATTATTACTTCATGAAATTAAAAGTAATGACAAAGTCACATTCACTAAAATCTTAACTGGATTAACTAAAGAAACTCTTGTACCTATTGCTAATATGCAAGTAATTAGATTTATAAGAGAAATACTCAATACTGATGAATTAGATTAATAATATGAAAAAGTAAGTAGCTCTAATATATTTAGTTATTCATTGAATATCTATTAAGACAAATACACAAATCTTAAGAAATAGTCATATTTGAAGCTTGTAAAGCATTATGTGATTTAAAATCACTATCCAATAAAGATCTTTAACCTATGGTCTAAATTGTGACTGTATTCTTATAATCAAGCAATGTGATCAATAAGTTTGTGGCACTCAAAATTTTAAATAGATTAATCTCAAATCCTATTAGAAGATCTCTTATCACACCCTCATAAATTGAACCACTTATATAAGATTCAAATAAATCATTATCTTCATTGGCTGTTTCAATATTATTAAAAGTTTGTTAAGAAACAAATATTGAAAGACTATTAAATTAAATTTATGAATACTTAAATGATATGAGTGATGAATTTAAAATTGATGTTCTTAGAAGTGTCAAAGCATTAGCTAAGAATTCACCAACCAAATGGAAATCTATTATTAGTTTCCTTCAATAAACATTTAAATGTGAAGCCTCTTAAGAATTTAAGAAATATTCAATTGAAATCTTTGAATTTATTATTCATGAAATTCCTGAAGCAAGAGAAAATGCTATAATGGCATTAGCTGATTACATAGAGGATTGCTAACAAAGTGCACTATAATTAAGTGTATTGAGTATTCTCAATAGAGAAGCATCAAAAAAACAATGTCCTACAAGAGTTATTAGGATTGTAAACAATAGATTACATCTTGAAGATGCTGAAATTAGAGCTGCAGCTGTAGGTGTACTAGGCAAATTCTTACTTCATTATCCTAAGGAAAAGGCAAACCTTATTGAATTATTATAAGCTGCTGCCTAGGATCCAGATGAAGAAGTTAGAAATCGTTCTAGATTTTATATTAGTGAATCTGCAGCACCAAAAGAAGAAAACACTCCATTATCAATAGAAGAATTAGATGCAATTGAAGCCTATTTATAATAAAATATTTAGGAAATTCAACAATCTAATGAAGAGGTATTACAATTAGAAAAAATTATGGCATATGCAGAATAAAATAAGGGAAAGATTAAAAAGACTGAAGTATTATAAGAATTAGTGGAAGAGGAATTGATTTAAACTCATGAATCTGAATCTGGTTTTGAAACCTATAAAAAATTATTTAAAGAGAGTACAATATTTTGTGATTATGGTGTATTAAGAAAATCATCAAGAGCATAAAATTTAACTGATTCTAAATGTGAATATTTAGTAACAGTTGTTAAACACTTTTTTGATAATCATATAATATTAGAGTATAAGGTAAAGAATACATTAGACAATGTTACATTAAGTGATGTCTCTTTAGAATTAACAATAAAGAATGTAAATCTTTAATTTGAAAGAATTGTACCAGCAAAACAAATTCAACCATAATGTGCTTCTAATATATTAGTAGGATTATAATTTAATCCTAATTTAAGATTAGTATCATCTAATATTCAAAGTATATTAACATTTACAGTAAATGAAAATGGAACCACTTATTAAGATGAATATTAGACTGAAGATTTTATCATTACTTACAGTGATTTCTTCTTACCTATATAATGGTTTAAGTAAGATTATTAATAATAAAAATAGAAAATTTTAGACTGAATGGGAATCTCTAAAAACATAAGAAATGTCAGCTACCTATTAATTGGATTATAAGAATACTGATATTGCAATAAAAGAATTAGTAAAACATTTTGGTATTTATTTATGATTTATAAAATATAGGATTTTAAGTTTGTGATAATTCTGATTAAATACAAACATAAAATAAATTTCATACTTTATTACTATCAGGTAAATATTTGGATGCAAAGAGTGCATTGGTAATATGTTAGATAGGTTTCTAATAGAATATAGGATGTGTATTGAAAATTAAGTGTAAATCTGAGGATGATAATTTAAGTACAAATATTGTTGAAACCCTTGGTTGATATTATATTAAATACATTTAATATTATTTAGATGGAAAACAAAAAAATTATAGGGAAATAAAAGAATAATAATAATAAGCTTTAAAATTTACACAATTTGGAAATATTTTTAATATTTCAATGTTTATGGTGTTTCCTAAATTTTATTAATACATATTTTTACTTATTATGCTTTCTAGATTTACTTCTATCTTTTTCTTTATCTTTTTTCTTTTTACTACTTTTTTTTTTACTCTTATCTTTTGAATTATCTCTACTTCTAGATCTTTCTTTCTCTTTCTCTTTCTCTTTCTCCTTTTCTTTTTCTTTTTCTTTCTCTTTCTCTTTCTCTTTTTCTTTCTCTTTTTCTTTCTCCTTTTTTTCTTTTATTAATTTTTCCTTATCAAATTAAACATCTTTAGCAATATCCTCCTTAAATTCTTATTTTCTAGCTTCTTCCTCTAAAATCTTTTCTAATTGCAATCTTCTTTATTATAATTTTTATAATTCAACCCTTATAGTAGAAAATCCTTAATGAATTCTTCCATCTAAATGAGTCCTATTATTTAATATGTAAAATACTTGACTTTATTCTCTGTTTCATAGAGGGATTATCTAGCTCCACAAACTTCACATATTTTATAAGTTTTGAATGGATTATTAGTACCTTCATATGCTAATAATACATCTTCTCTTGCTTTTTTAAGATTATCTGCTTCCATTATTAATCTTTCAGATTCTTCAATCTTACCCTATTCTCCCATCTTCTCACTCTAATCTGTCAATAGATTTATCTATCTTTCCATATTGTCAAGTCTATCCTGGATCTCTTTGGGTCGATCAGCTACTTATAGTTTACTAGATTATTCAACTTATTCTTCATGTTTAGTTAAGATCTTGTCAACTTCCTTCAATTTATCTTGGATGTAAGCTAACATATTTATTAGGTTCATACTAAACCTATTGCCTCTTCAATGTATTTCTTCTCTCTCTATTGTTTTTTGATACTCTTATCACAATTGAATTCATTAATAAAGAATTAATCATGTCTTTTACTACACTCTCCCTCATGATCATATTTAGTATGCTTCCATAAGTCGTTAAAGCACTTAGAAACCAAGATATTTTTGCACACATCTTCATTCCAATAGTGAGCATCATTCTTCCTTTTACTAGCTACAACATTTCTCTCTTTGCCAAATAGCTCATCTAGAATATAACGGGAATCATCACACATTCTTTTAATAAATATTTAAATTAGTTTCTATCTATATTATATATTGCTTAAATCATAAAGTCAATAATCTAATAGTAGATTCCCCAATTACCAATATCTTATTCTACACAAGACAAAAGTCATAAACTTTAAAAATAGGTATCTATTTGCATTGATTACTAACCAAATCCCATTCAAATAAATTCTATTTTTGGTTTATGATACATTTCTAATTCAAAAATAGACATTTATTGATAATATCCCCTTTGGTCTTGCAAATTTGACTTAATTTCAAATCTCTAATAATCCATTCAGATTGAGCATTAAGGAATAAATATTATTCACTGAATTTCATTTATTTTACAATACTTGGACGACAATCAGCTAAGTAATATAATAGAAAATAAATACCTTTTTAAACTTATTATTATGTATTGATATCCCATACTTCAATTTAATTTTTATTATTGAGAACATAAAGTAAATTTTAACAAGGCATTCCAAAAACATCAGCATTAAATTATTATTAAAATGAAACTTTTAATAGCCTCTTAATATTCTCATCATAAACACTTATTCCAGTGATGAAATTTGAATCATCTATTCTTTTTGGTCCAAAAAGATTGAATTATTATGTTTAAGGTGGTTTAAAGTCATAACTGAAAACAGATCTATTGAAATATAATTGACATGTCTTATATTTTTCAACCAACATTTCCTCTTCATTATATTCATTAGTTAAGTAATTCCATTTGACAAGAATAGGATTAACACTCTTTGAGATTTTAAGAATGTATTGAATAGTTGAATTATCTAAAAACATAACTGTTTTAATTTCTAAGTTATCTATTTCTTTTCTTCTTTCAAATTACAATCTATTGTCAAATGGATAGATTTCAATCTCTATATGAAATATCACTTCTTCATCATAAAGTAATCCACATTTTTGTATAAGTGCTATGAATTATCCATTTGGACTTGAACAACAATGCAAAACTTATTTGACTCTTGCTTTATAAAAGAATTGATTTTCAAGGTTTATATTTAATAGAATGAAATCTTTTTTTTCTTTATGTTCAGCTATAATAATTTCTGAATTCATTAATTATAAAGAGTAGACACCAGGACAAAATTTGACTTCTGTTGTTTTAATTTTAGTTCCTGTAAGAATGTTCCAAGAAGTAACGATAGCATTTTTATTGATTGAGAATAGATGATTATTGGAATAACATAATCCATGATGTATATCATCTTTGGAAGAATTCAATACAATTTAAACAACAGCTTATTTATTTTTTAAGAATTTGGTGAGTACAATTTAACCATTAGAAGCAAAGGCAATTTAATCATAAGAAATAGGAGTCCAACATGTTACAGCACATCCATAAGTTGTTTATAATTCTTCTAATTGATCATTTTCAAAATCAACTAAGAATACTTCTCCTACCTTTTTTTATTTAGCAAAAACAAGTCCATTTTACAACATCAAAAGATCATCGCATTCATCAAATTTGTCAGATAAGATCTTTTGTAATTCAATAAGTTCTTTGGATTTAGATACAAAATTATTAAAAATGGGTTCTTATAGATTGGGTTTACCTAGATTAGAAGTTCTCCATAAGGTAATTTCGCCTTCATTGACACCTATAATTCTAGGTATGTATATGACACTACCTTGGATTAGTATGATCTGATACACAAAAGGCGGTAAGTGGTTATTCAATTAAGATTGTCTTTTTATTAGTTTCTGGTTGTATCAAGAGTAATGTGTCTCCAAAGATTAAATAAATTTTATCATGTACTGCAATTAATGAATAGGGCATGTTTTCAATTAATCCTTTGTATTCTTTCTTTAATTTCATTTCTTAATCCCAAAGTGCTAATGAATCAGATCCAGAAGTATCACATAAATATCCATTAAATGCAATTAAATTGTTCATAGAGGGTTCTAAATATTCATCTGCAATAGGAATCTAGAATTGGCAATTAAAAAATACTTAATTGAATTGTTAATCTTACACAGTAACTTTGAGTTCAAGATTCAATGATTCCAATGAAGTTTATTGTTAACTTAATTTTTTATTGATGTGAAATTTCTTTTTTTTAGGTATATCAATCCCTGGTGGAGGACCAATTGATTACTCATCATCATCACCTAATCCAGGAGGAGGATTCATAATATATTAGAAAATTCTTTAATTTAATTGTACACCATATATATATATATATTCAGAACAATATAATAATTAATATTATCATTAGCATTGCTCCATTATTTGTTTTAATATCAGTTTCTATATTAATGCTATTACTACATTAAGTACATTTCTATGTTGTAGTATTCCAATAAAAAGTATTTAAGGTGTTTATTCTACACTATTATTGATTATAAGTATCTGGTTCTGTCTCAATACATTTACCATCCTTAGATGTACATAATTTAATTTAAGTATCATCTATATTATATATATTATGACATTCTCTCTCTTAAAGATCTTAACATTCTAAAGGAAAACAGGATGTATCAGATGTAATTTAAGGATTTTCAATCCATTTACATTTTTCTGATAACTTTTAGCATATATATTTATCTAGATCACTATCAGAACACTCAAGAACCTTTAAACATTAATAACCATCCCAAGCACATATTCCATCAAGACCACCATAATTACATGAAAATTTATTCACATAATTAGCACAAACATCAATAGCTACACATAATTAACCATCTGATATACAATTTGGTAATTATTTTAAACATGTATCATGAGTGTAACCATAAGGTATATCATTACAAGAAATCGTTTTACATTATTTTTTCTAATAAACACATTTTCCATTACTACTTTGAGCATTTAAACATGTTTATTCATTATCATAATCCTCACATTCTTTTATAGTAACACATCTATTAGAATCAGATGTACATCCATATAATTAAGCATTACAAGCTTCATGAGTTTCTCCAAATAATTATTCACATGATTAATCTTTACATTCATTTAGAATATTATCCCAAATGCAAATTCCAGTTTAAGTAATGTACTTCTAATTTGAATTTTATTTAATGACTTTTCCATTTGAACTAATTCTGCATTATTCTTAATATTTATATGATGAACATAATAATAATGGAATACATCCATTCAATGTATCTGTTGTACATTTTTAGGATGTTTAATAACATTCTTAATGTGATAAATATGGTAAATCATAACATGCTAAGAATCTTTTACATTCACCTAAACTTTCCCACCAAATACAATCTCCATCTAAACCTGTAACACAAGATTATTATATTGAATAATCAGCACATTTACTTAAACCTACACATTTATTTCCATCAGTAGTACAATTTTTTGATAAAGATTTACAAATTTAATCATATTGACTTGAGATTGTATTACAACCTGTATATAGATAACAATTATTATTTAACCATTTACAAATACCATCAATACCTTTAAGACAAATATCTTCTGTAACAAATTCTGAGCATTTCTTTTTGGTTGTACATCTAATTCCAAAAATTGATGAATTCTAAAATGCACAATCATAAATAGCACATTCTTATTCAGATGTTCCAAGAATATCATCACATATTTATTCTCTACATCTATATGAATCCCAAATGCATAATTTATTATCAGCAGATGTTGTACATGCTGCTTATAATTATGCATTTTCACATGTTGATTTCTAAATACAACCTCCACCTAATCTTGTAGTACAATTACCTTTAGGATAATATTCTTAACAATCTCTTTCTGTAATATTATATTCTGGTGAAGTAGTACATGATTTATTAACACAATATGAAAATCTAAAATTCCATTAACATTCATTTCCATGGATATCTGTATTACATGATTCTTAAACATGAACATCAGAACATAGTTTTCTATCAATACAAGTTTTACCATTTGAAGTACAATTAGAATTGTATTTCTTACATTCATCATTTGTTTGATATATTAAATCACTACATTTTTATAGTCTACAATAGACATAATCAGTATAACAGAATTAATAGTGTTATTCACATAATTCAGCTGTTATAGAAGTGTCAGGAGCATTTTAACATGATCTAATTTCACATGAATTAGTTTTTGTATTCCAATAACATGATTAATTTGAAATAGTAATAATACATTACTTTTCAGTTTAATATTATTCACAATAAGTATTTTTGAATTAACAACCATTTCCTATAGCAACTGTAGTACATTCATTAAGATATGATTAACATTCCTCATGTTAAGTATAAGATTTTGGAGCAGTTTAACATGATTTATTCATACATCTAATACCATCCCAACCACATGGTAAATACATATTATTAATAACACATTATCTTTCACTTATATAAGTTGCACAATCTTACAAAGGAACACAACCTCCAATACCTGAATCTATGACAGTACAATCACTTAGATAATCTTAACATTCAACATGAGTATCCCTTGTACTATCATAAGCAGCAGTATAACAAGATTTAACATAACATCTACCACCACTCCATGCACATATATCACCATTAGAACCAATTACACAAGATAATTCAGCTGAATAATTTAAACATCCATTTAATGTCATACAACCTCCACCTTATTTAGCTGTACAGGTACTCAAAAAATCATTACATTAAGTATGAGTAGTATAACTAGTTGGTGCATTAGAACATTTAATATCAGCACATTTATTAATATCAACATTCCAAAAACATATTCCTTAAGAAGTATTCTTGAAACAATGAGATTCCTATAAATAATCAGAACAATTAGTAGCCTTAGTAATACATTCACCAATTCTAGCTACTGTACAAGTTGATAAGAATGTCTTACATTCTGTATCATCATCAAAAGTTGTATTTTAAGTTGCATCTTCACAAACTCTATCTTTACATTAAGTACCAGTCCAAAAACATATAGTATTATCTAAACTTTTAATACATTAATCTTAATTAGAAATCATAGAACATTTTTATGGTTTAATTACACAACCTGCATGTACATTTAATG